TGTGTTTTTCTTAATCGAATTCACGTGTGGTGGGGCGTGTAAAACATGTTTGTCCAGTTGATGGAATAATCAAAGATCACTCTTTTCCTTCTGTGTTTAAGGAAGCAAACCAAGTCCACTGAAGCCACTGTGAGCTCCCTTTTGCTCTCACCTCCTTCAATCCGAGGGCAGGGAGGGACCAGGGCCCTGAGCTTTTCGTTAACCATTCCTTGCCTTTAAAGACAATTAGAAATTAATTGTTATCTTGCCTTATTTTATAGTTTTAACATAGGTATGTATATACATACATATGAATGGTGTTTAATTGTGTATCTTATAGGACTTTAAATAAGTGGGACTAGTCACTATATTCTTCTAGAATTCACTCTTTTTGTTCTTTCATTCATGCTGCACACACAGGGATATTACATTAATTTCAGTTTTCTCCTGCTGGTAAATATTAATGTTTATTTTCAATTTCTTTTTTATTAATGAATGCTGCTTCTATAATTTTTTTTTTTAAATATGCTTTCTGGTTGCTTTTCACTGCTGACAATTATTGAGCATTTGTTTCATGCCAGGAAATCTTCAAAGCACTTTAAATGTATCGACTCATTAAAACCTCCCACATCCTATAGAGAGTTACAACTATTATTTCCATTTCATAGATGAGGGACTTTGGTCCAAGGAGTATAATTTATATGTTCCAAAGGAGTCAGTCCAGGGACAGGCAAAAGGCAGACGATGATCACCCCATCGGTGCTCATTGTCTTAGCAACATGTGCTTGCAAACATACACGCCAGCCATGTATGTGTCTGAGTTCTGAATTTGTGGGACACCTCCAAGATCACCTAACCCAGAGAATGACAGATTGAGAAATCAAAGGGAATCCCTTGAGGCTAAGTAAGGGAGAAAATACCTTCTCTGCTTCCAGATTTAACAAGGTGCCAGAGGTAAAATTTTAGAGAAACACATAGACAAAACTGAGAGCAAAACTGGCACAAACACCATAGAACACCTGGGCCTCACCTGTCCTGGAGGGAGCATTGGAGGTATAATGCTTCTACATCCTTACCCTAGCATCTCCTAGGCACTCAGGAATGCAAACAAATGGGAAAAATAGGCCAGAAATCTTGCAGCTGCCACAAGCCAAGGAATCTGGAGGAATATCATTGACCAATAGTGAGCACTTACTAAGAACTGGCAGTGAAGGCAAAAGTTACCTTCAAGGGCCTGCCACTGAAGAGTCAAGGTGGAGAGGTCAGAGGGCTGAGCACAGGAAAGCCCCACCTCTCAAGCGACAGCTAATCAGCCAGCTCCATCCACCAGCGAATCTGCGAAGGTCATCGTTTTCAGGAAATGACATTTGTGAGAAGTTTGATTGTCTTTTATTTTTTTAAAAAGATTTATTTACTTATGCGTACAGAACTGGGGTGCAGGGGTGGGGAGAGGATTCACCAGAGACAGAGTGGGGAGCATAACAGGCAGACTGATGAAGTGTGCTGCTGAGGGGAGCAGCAGGCTAGACAGGAGAGGTCTGCTGCGCCATGTGGGTCAGCTTTTGGCTGGGATCCAGTTCGTACTGCACAGAAGTTTGCAGTGCTGCGCTTTAACCCACTGCACCCCCAAGGAGGGCCAGAAGTTTGATTATCTTTAAAGGACTCCCAGCACTTTGCTTTGACACCAACATTTGATTGTTGTTGGACTCAAACTGTTAAAGCATGATCTTTACAAAAATAATTAATAATTCATAATCTGCCATCTTGATAGCTTTAGTTTGAACAAGTGGTGCTTCCTAAAAATAATTTAAGTATAGTTAAGATTGTTATATATTCTTGAGTGAAAAGAACAAATTATAAAAGATTTGAATATGAGCCCTCTTTTGGAGATAAACATGTACATTTTGTAATTGGAAAATTCTAGGCCAGAGTATATCATTTAGGAACTATTAATCTTTGGGTAAGATTGTTCTTTATGGGGGCCACCCTGTGTTTTGAAAGATGTGTAGTGGTATTTTTGGCTTCTTTCCACTAGATTCTAACAGCACCCTTCCCTAGAGCTACGAATATTAAAATTGGCTCCAAATTGCCAGATGTCCCCAGAGGATGAAAATCATCCCCAGTGGAGAATCATTCCTCTACCCTAATGTCTTTATAGTCATTCAACCTGAATGGGTATATGACAGGTACATTTTATTCCCTCTCTTTATTTCTAGTTATAGTTTCAATTATAGTTATACATACAATACTGTCCATTTATTTTTATAGTAAATAATAAAAGCTACTATTAAAATGCCTCCAATCAGATCACTGTGAATTAAATAATTAGAGGCACATTGTTTTGAGAATAGTCTTTGAAGAAGTTAGATGATTTATGGAAGATAGAATGTGGGAAGCCACAAAGGAAACAAAGAAAAACAGTTCTTCCAAATAATTTAGCAAAAATTCATCTCAAGATGTGGAGGTGGTATCGAGTGGGACAGAAAGAAACTGATTTATGATCCAGGTGTGACGGTCCATGTTGACGGAATCCTGTGTATTTGATGTTCTCATTTAACTTACATCCTTGGGCACTCTAATATTCAGAGTTTGCTTTTGCATTTATTTCCTCCTACTTGATGTCAGCCCCAGTGGCCTTGAACTTTCCTATGTCATCAGACGAGGGGACATATGTCCCTCTTCACTCACTTCTATCCCATGTGAAAAGTATGGCATTAAGTTTCCCTCACTTTGCCGTGGTTGTATTTTCAGTCACAAAGTTGTTTAGAATTTATGGGGGTGCTGAGGTAGAGCCATTCACAGCCATTTTCAAGGGGAAAACTTACCTGACTTGGAAGAGGCCTGCGATATCCTAGAACTGAGAACAGCTCAGTTAAGAGAACAGCTCTATTAAGAGGATGAAGAGGACTTGTCAACTTTCACTTCCACTTGTCCCTCAAGCCTTGGAATGAACCCCATGAGTTTCCAGAGATAGTTTTTGGAATTGGTGAGACCTAACCACAGTGGTGACAGATGCATGATGGTTGTTGCTCACACAGACACACACTCCTGAGACTGTGACCACCTCCCCACAGTCCTTTTTGTATGCTTATGATTGAATATACCTGTGTATGTATACACGAAGCAACAATGTTAAAGAAATGCTTGATACTTCTGACATGCTTTGACTGACAAGTGCTGTAAAAGCAACTAAAATTAGAAAAAAGGTTCACCACTGAAGAATTTCAGTCTGAAGACAAAAAGTGGGAAGCAAATTACTATTGTACTTTTAGATAAGAAAAACAAAGTGAGACAAATTACGCCTTTGAAGAAAATTGTCGTGTCTAAATGGCTTCACTGTCTGGTACTGAGCACATGCTCTTAATATTCTTAATAAGAATGATGAGAAATGCTTACATAGCATTCGGTACCAGGCACCATTCTAAATGCGTTCTATATTCTAACTCTTCTCACCCACAAAATATCTCTAAGGGAGCTGTTACCCCTAATCAACAGACAAGGGCATGGTAGATCATCAGTAAATATTTTGTGAATGGGATGAATAAATCAAACTATCGTCAATCTCTTTATTTCCAGTTTACTCTTAGTAACAACTCATTCTTTCCCACTTTTGAACATCTTTTACAGTTAGTGTATAAATTTGTTCTTTAAAACTGACAGAATCATGTCTATAAAAACTGAAAAGAACAGAACATTCTGGTTAATATAGTTATGCTCTAAATTAAATCATTAGATCAGAAACTGTTTGGATTGTGGACAATCTCAAAAGACCATGACTCCAGAATCCATCTCTCCTACCATGGTTGTCTGCCTTTGTCAAAAATATAAATAAGGAAACCTGGTCCTTATCTGTTTTCCTGAAAGAGCATCAATGGATTATGAGTTAATGATTAAAACAAATTCATATTTAGGTGAATCATAGGTAATTTCTGTCTTTGAAGATTAAAACCAGTCAGATATTAACAATCTTATATGGTTTAACTTGATAGTATGACTGCAGAATTTAATTTTTTAAGGAAATGGAGAAGGAAGTGGGAAGAATTACTGGACTTTAAGTAGGATGGTGCTGTTTAATAGTATGATTCAGCTCCCACAGTAAATTATGTCAAATTCTCATATTTTCTCCTTGACATTCATTTTACTTATTTCTTTTGTATATCCTTGTTTATTGATGATTTCAAGATTATGTGGATAGGGATATTCATACATTTTCCAAGGACTATCTAATCTACTAATTTATTTACCATCAATATTTAAGGCACACAGTGCTTCAGTTGCTGAACATTTTCTAGTCTATATATTTAACTATCTTAAACAAAACATTTCCAGAAACAAATGTAGTCCTTCATTATAAGGTATTATTATAAATATTAAAAATATTTTCAAGTTAGTCTTCAAGTAAAATGCCTCTGCTGAATTAGTGAGAGAACATTATTTGACCACAGAATAAACACCATTGGTGTCTACCCCTCCTCCCCTCCCCCACCCCACTGATTTTGCTCTCCTTGTCCTTTCCATACATCATACATATACTATACATCATATTAATTTGGGGCTTATTACCCCACACCCCTTAGTGCAAAACCATTGGGCTAGAGGTTTGGGCTAGATGGACAGCTGTTTCCTCAACCCACATATTTTTTTATTAGAAATTTTCTTGTGTCAGATAAACAAACAAACAACAAAAAGCTTTCGGCCACATAAAGTACAAATGTGACCATTGAAAGTAGCTATGTGCCTACTTTCTGTGTCTGATGGATTTACTTTGAACATGAATTATTGTGACTGAACAGTGTGTGTGGTGTCCTTGAGTGTGACCAACTGAGAGCACTTTGCATACTTTAAGTATCTCATCCTTTTGACAACCAAATTCTAAAAAAGTAATATTTAGAAGATGAGTATAGCCCTCACAGCCTATCATTTACAGAGTTATACAGATGGAAAATGCACAGAAAATATTTTCAGAAGTGTGCTAGTTAGAAGATAATAAACAAGACGTTGTACGCGGTACTTCTGCCTGGATAAATCCTGCATCCAGCAGCCAATATTTATTGCAAGCTTAGTGGGTAAAAAACATACTCCAGGTGCCCGTCAGCATTGCTGAAGCCTGCACACGTGAACCAATCACCCGCATAAGGCAGAACAAGCAAGTGCAATAAGTATAGAGACAAGAATGAGTAATTCCCATCAAAATGAAAAACCTGAGTGAGCAACTTGTCTTCCAGGTCCTTTATCGTTCTCGTTCATGAGTTTGCACTCACAGGCCTTGTCACAGAAGAGTCAGGTGTAGGGAAATTTGGGTTTTAGTCTTCCATTTGTACAGATAACCCCCATTCCTCCATGAACTGCATGAGATAGGTTGCATTTTCTTCCTGTGGCTTGTCCTGAGCCTCCTCATCACAGAGTCGAGACAAAAGGCCTTCCTCTGTGAGCCCCGAGTACCCAGGATCTTGCCATCGCTCTGCATCGTGTTCAAAGCTAGGGAAGGAAGGTATACACAGCCTGCCAGTCTGAGGGTCCCAATCAACTAGTGTGGTCGGTGGCTCTTCTTCGGTGGTCTCTCCCGCGTCCATGCTCTCCCCTGGCAGGGGGTGGTCTAAATCTCTGAGCTGAGGGGTGTATGAACACAGTAGTGTCTGTGGGTCCCAGTCTGCTGAAGCTTCCTGTTGCTCAAATAATTTTCCTTGTCCAGACACGTCCTCCAGCAAACTGAGCTCTTGATCTTTCAACCCCACACAAAAATCAATAGTTCTAACATCATATTCGTATTCAATGGCGGTTCTGTCTGTGGGTATTGCTCTGCTGAGTAATTCTTGCTGGGTTAGGGAAACAATGTTGGTGTTTCCCTCAGGGTCACTGAAAATGTCCACCAAGTGTGAGGCATAACCTAAGTGCTTCACTTCCATCTCCTCTGCATGGGGCTCCTGGTCCCCCCAGGGTTCAGCGTTGTTCTGGTCCTGTCCATTATCACTGTTGTCCATTATACTTGTCGCTTTATGTGGAGTTTTAGAATCCTCCACAATATTGAGGGTGATAAAGTTAATCACAATTTTTTCAGCAGGCACAAAGAATCTTTTATCAAATTCATTTCCATAAATCAAAATCTATAAAGAGAGAAGAGAATGGTTTTTACCTTTTCACATTACAGAGACATTAAAAAACAGCTTGTAAATGCAATTTAGTCTGTAAATGGGTAGTTTTAAACATATACTCTTACTAATTCATGGAAGTCAAAGCTGGGTTTGGGGGGTCCAGACAACCCAGCTAGACTTGAAGGGCTGCGGGGGTCATGACTGAATTTAACTATGTATCCAAGACCTACTCTAATCTGATCACTAATTATAAAATCTTCATCAAGGTTAAGGAATTTTCTCTTTGGTTACATTAATGCGCTAATCTAGTCTAGAAAGTTTTTTTTTTTTTAAGATTTACGTATTTATGCATATAAAACTGGGGGACAAATCAGAGGTGCAGTGGCAGTGAGAGGATTCACCAGAGACAGAGTGGGGAGCAGAACAGGCAGATCGACAAAGTACACTGCTGAAGGGCGCAGTGGGCAAGATAGGAGAGGTATGGTGTTCCTTGTGGGTCACCTCTGGGGTGAGGATTGAACTTGCACTGAAGTGGCTGTGGCTAGCTTGCAGTGCTGCACTTTAACCACCAGGAAGGGCCTAGAAAGTATTTTTTTAATACTTCATAAACTCTTTGACTTTAAATTCACTGTGCCCATACGAGCAATAGTATCTTTTCTAAAGCCTCCTGTGAGGTAATCCTGAAGATGCGTTGTTATAATTACGGTTCCTGCCACACTTGGCATTCGCTTACCAAATTTGCTGGGTGTTTCTCTTTGCCAACGTGGATATATCTGTACATGGAGTAGCCCATCACACAGAAAATGAACACAGTAATAGATATGGGTAAAATGTACCAGAAGATGATTTTAACCTTCAGTGCTGAAGTTTGGTCTGTTAAAAAATAGAAAAAGGAGTGGTTAGGTGTGATTTAGTGTGGCTGTCAACAAGGCAGTGTCAACAGGTTTTGGGCCAGTCACTTCCATTTAGGAACTCTCATAAATCGAGAAGTTGAACTCTCCCTATCTTTGGCAATAACTGGTATTAACGTGACCTTTTCAGTAAGGATGCATTAATAATCCAGGCAGCCAACATTCATAAAATACCTGGCTAAGACATCCATGTTGAATTTATTTTTAAAGGTAATGTGTCTGCTATTTGGGCACCTCACAGCATTTCCCAAACAATCTACTGACGATCAGTTAAACTGCCCCATTTTCCCATAACAAACATTTGATTCAATCTTTCCCTTATGCTCAGTAAAGGACAGAAAAGTAGGGTGTCAATTAACGCTATGCAAATAATACTGCATCATCATTCCCATTAGCCTGACTTTCTGGGAAGGGCTCGATATTGGTTAAGTATATAGGTTAGCTGACTGAACAGGTGGATGCTAAGAATGGCATTAATGCCTTTGCAGGTCTTGCTGTGCTAGAAGCTCCTGATGAGTAAAAGTCCACGGATAATGGAGTGATCTGGAGAATGGTTTTTTATAAAGCAGCCTTGGTCCCACTGAGAAGACTATAAAATTGACAAACAGGTGTTCATGGTAACTTATATTTATTAAGCTTCTATAGGGTTCTTGGAATTTTTGGTTGAATTCACACATCAATTTGATTAGGCCATAGCACACAAATATTTGTTCAAAGATTACTCTAGATGTTTCTGTAAAGGCATGTTAAACATTTTGTTAGCCTTTAAATAAATAAACTTCAGGAAAGTGGATTGCCCTCTATGCTCTGGATGAGCCTCATCCAATCAGTTGAAGGCTATAATAGAAAAAGACTGATGAAAGGAAGAAAGAATTCCGCCACAAGATTGTCTTCAGACAAGAGCCTCAACATCATCTCGTCTCTGGGCCTCCGGCCTGTAGGTCTACCCTGGAGATTTTTGACTTCCCAACCTCCACAAACACATGAGGTAACTCCTTAAAATAATCTCTCTGTCTATATCTATATATCCACCTCCATCTCCATAGCTATATATTTCTATCTCTTTGTGTTCTGCTTCCTCGGAGATCCCTACTACAGGAGTATACAACAAAGAAGCTAGTTCACAAGTCACACGAAGTTCTAGACCACTCCTACATACTGTTACCCAGTCAGAGTGCCCTGGGAGCATGGTCAGCCATGCAAACCCTGGATACACTTGCTGCCCACGCCTCCGAGAAAGCAGTAAAGTCATTATCTAGTTTCACTGTCCAGCAAAACACTGGAAACAGAAGTGACATGGGCAGAGGGTGGTCAACAATACCCGGCTGGGAGAGTCCCACACTGGGCACCCACACGCAGCCTCTACTTACACCAATTCCTGAAGAGTACAAAGTCATCAGGTTCCACACAGAAAGGTGACAACACCATAATGCAGGTGTTACAGGTAGCTGGGCATCACCTGTGCCTACTTCAGGTGGCAACTCAGTGCAATCCCCTTAATAAAATCCTTGGTCACTGGACTGCGCTTGCCCCAATTAAAAAGGGCTGTGACAACAATGAGCACAGGCTTTCAACAAAAACTTGATAAAGTGGAGCTGTATTTTAGGCACTGGAGGACCATGGAGAGTAGAGATGTTTTTCAAAGATTAGCCCCAGGGAGGGAGGCAGGTGGTGTGCTGGCACAGGTGGCTTGGTAGGCCATGAGTGCACATATGGAAGAACAAAAATGTAACCCCCACAATTAAAATTAAAATTGAAAATAAAGCAATAGTCCCCAAAGAGGTCAGAGTGCCTTTTTTAAAAAGTTGGCCTTGATGGCTGTGGTACCACTGGCAATCTACCATCTGGGATATCACAGAAAGGGCCAGAGCCGGAAATAGCGCTTGGCTATTCTGTTACCTGTCCCAGACTAGGAGGTATTTGGCTCCCAGGGCTTCCTGGGACATGTTTAATATAATGTCTACTTTAGCTGCTCCTGCTCTGCCAACTGCTTAAATGATTTCCACTGGAAATTCATTCTTGCCATTTGGCCACCAATCAAGCTGTTAGTAAACAGAGGTCTTTTCCAAATACCAAAATGATCTCTTCAATCTGCTTTGTTGTGTCTTTTGCTTGGTTAGCATTTTAGCTTTCTTTGGCAGATGGTAGCAAATCTTTTACTTTAAAGGAAAAGTATGGTAAGGACACAGATTCAAAATAAAGCTTTTTGTGTAAGTCCTGGATCTAGCTAAGTCTGCTCTTATATGTCTGTTATCTTTTTTTTTTTAAACCTATTATTTTGCCTGGCATTATGATCAATTTACATGAAGTCAAATTAAGATTTGTACATGATGTACTACGGAAGTGAGGGAAATTTTCACAAACTGAACTGGTACAGCAGAGCTGTCTTGCATTTGGAATTCACACTCACTACACAGAGTTAATCAAATGAAAACAAAAATTTCTTTTATATATATACTTTTATAATTTCTTATTATTCCTGGCTTGGGGCCCCATGTTGCATTTCTACATAGAGAAATAAAAGGAATTATGTTCTAAAAAAACAAAACAAAATTAAAGCTTGTCATTTCTGATAAGTTCTCACAAAATTCCTCTTATTTCTTGGGACAGTTTCATGTTGCAACGTGGGAGGTGAGAGGGAAAGCAAGGCAGGGGATGTGTCATTCTTCCTGTCTCAGAGCTGGTGGCAGAAATAGGCTCAGGAGAAAGGTGGTGACAAAAGTCCTAGGCCAGCAGATTTGGAAGAAACAGAAAAATATAGGCGGCGTGTCATCCCCTGGAGGTTAACCAGAGAGTTTGTTTTCATTTTCCAGGTTTTGAGTTCTACATCCTCCTACTCTGGAGGGAGGACAATTACACAAATGTCATGCTCCCAACTCTGTGCCTTCTAACAGGGATGAGTATTTTCACCCACTGTTCCCTGGCAGCCAGGTTCAGAAGATGCGAGGACACAAGACCGAGAGAAGCACCAGCAGGAGCGAAGACGTCACTAGCGATGGTCTCAGGCCCTCTGCAGCAGTGACTGTATCTAATTAAGTTGAAGGGCCTATACTTTGTATTGGGGGAGCACAAGAGTCTGTCTTAAAGGGTTTTTAGGATAATCCCGTTTTCTTGTTATAAAGTGTATGTCCTTGTCAGATTGCTGAACTTCTATGTACCAGAGAGACTATGAAGTCAAAAAAGAAAAAGATATGTGTAAATCTTCCTATGATTTTTTTCAAGGCAGCAAGTTCTATGATCTGGGGTGGCTTGTTGGCAGAAACACCAGGGCTGTAGTGCTGATTATTCCCCGATTCCCTAACACTGGTCAAGTTCAAAAAGGCAGAGTCCAAGAGAGCTGAGCGTATTTCTGGTGATGGCTATTTCTGCCTTTGCCTCAACCTGTTTGTTATATACAGATTTGCCAACACTTGTCTAAACTGCTTTACTTCCTTCAGGTTTATATGATTTCCTTCCTGAGAGCAGCAGAGGGCTTTTTTCAAGCTTACCTTTCAAAGTATTGATGCACTGCCTGTCGGATGGCCGAGCAAGGCGAGGGGGCCCTGGGACGAAGGACTCTACGTGGACGCAGTACAGGGTGTCCGGCTCCAGCCAGCTGAGAACCAGCGTGTCGTTGGTCACCCACTGGGACCACTAGGAAATGCAAGCAGGGTTAGAGTGGAAGATGCTCCAGAGTCAAGACCAGACCCTCCCATGGCTGTGATCACTACGCATGTTCTCTTCTTTAAAATGGCTTTTTCTTAACCAGCGGATCATGATTAGGAACCGCACAATCTGGAAACAATTAAATAGTAGCAATAATTATTCAATAATAAGGACAGATTTTTTGATTCAGTGCTGTCCTGTGTTCTTGATAACAGTTCTCTCTTTCTTGGAGAGTGACCCATGTTATTCAAATAAAAACTCCCTAGCAAAGTGAGGGAGACAAATGCCCTAAATTTCAACGGCAACAGCCTACCCCATTAACACAGGGTTTCTGTGTTAAAGGAAAGCTGAAGGGAGTTTTATAAATGTCCATATGTCAGTCAGCTACAGCTGTGTCTCTTTTGAATGTTACATGTTCCAGGATTTCATGCAGAGAATAAAACATCAGAGCAGTACTCAGATTGTAGCTGCAAAAAGTCACACAGATTCTGTGCCACGGTCCACTTCTGACTTACCGTTCTATTTGACTTAGTGTTATAAACAGACACATTGTACTTCAGATTGGAATATATTTGTTGCATGGATATAGTACTTTCTTCTGGATTTTTCTTCCATTTCTCTGGAGCCTTCAGCACAATAGTGATGGATTTCTCATCAGGAGTCAAAGCCACTTCTGGCGGGCCAATTTGTGCTTAAAGTAGAAGTGAGAAAAGTTATTATGTTCAGAAGTGGAAAATTACCTTAGATTCAAATACAATATAATTCTAGTGGGATCAAGGCTCTCAAAGCTGCCCTGTTATAGATGAAGCCTCAAAATGCACTAAGGCGCCCAAACCATGCCAAATCTTGAATCATTATTTCACATATTCTGATATGAGCAAATTTGAGGGTTGCATTGAATTAACCACATAGATCAACTGTACTTGATCGTGAATACATAAAAGTACAACACTCCTGTGACTGGAAAAGTTAAAAATAATGATGTTGGTAAGATTTCATAAGTGGAAAAAATTGGGCATGGAATACTGAAGCATTGCTGAAGACCTCGGAGAGTTGGTTGTCGTGATCTGGAACAGAGTTTAGCAAGCAGTAGCAACGTCTGATCTAGGATACCAGTTGGAAATCTCCCGTTCCAGGACCCTCCCATCTCTGTCTGGGTCCTCTATGGCTGTCAGTCACAGGTCAGGGAATGGAAACATTTAAAAAGCAAGTAAAGGAAAACATTGCTTTCTGAGTTATAGCCAGAATCACAACATTACTCTGACAAGCTCCCAAGAAGAAACTTAAGAACTTAGGCTGGGATCAGAGCAGTCTTTAATCAATCTTGTGGCCATGCATCAATGATTTATAAAGCAAAAATATTAAAAAAAAAATCTGTCAGCTGTTTACATAGCTTGCACTAAATAATAAAACAGAATAAAAAATTGATACTAGCAGCACTCAGAGCCAACTTTGGCTCTGGGAGACCTCTTAGAGATCATGTGGCCAGAATTTTCCTTCTAAAGATCCAACTGGGTGAGGCAGTTGGTTGGTCACTGCAAACCGTCAGCTAATGGAGAGTCCAGACGGGGCAGTGGGAGCGCCCGGCTCTCCCTCCGTGAGGCTGACGCACTTACACCACGAGTTCTCGTGGATTTGATATTAATACATTAATACGTACTTAGCAGACAATTGTGTTACTTACTTTCCAGAAAAGGATAGAATCGTCCTGTTTCTGCCCATTTTGAACAATTTGTTTCCCCAACGGCTTTAACTCTAGCATAATACTGGTGCTCGTAGTCAGAAGTTTCAGCAGAGAGATCACAGGAAGTCTCATTAATATTTCGACATTCAGATTTATTCATCCATTTCTTTTGCCCATATCTGCTAAGAAGGAAACTGTGAATTAATAATGAGGTGTGTTCTATGCCATGTAATAGGAAAAAACCTAGTCATTATATAAAAGTGAATGGAACTTAAGACCTCTTCAGAACAACAAAAGTGCCTGTCATTGAGATAAAAGAGAATCTACTTTTGCTGCTGGCAATTTTTTTCATTAGTTGTCAGGAACATGAGTCAGAGTTTTTGTAATCACCTTTCTTTTCTGTAAATTATAATGTGGATAGTACATTTTGAAAGCATGTATTTTATCATTATTCTTGGGCTACAGGAAAAATTTTATACATTGTGTGAACAATTTGTCTAATAGCTATCTGTGTAAATTTTGTCCACCAGGCATACTCATGGTCAGTTTGATGCCTTGCTCTATTAAAAAAAACTAGTCTTGGCCCTCCTTGGTGGCGCAGCGGGTTAAAGCACAACACTGAGAAGCTAAAGCCACTTCCGCATGAGTTCGATTCCCGCCTGCCCCGGAGGTGACCACATGGCGTGGCAGACCTCTCCTGACCCGCCCGCTGCTCCCCTCAGCAGTGTACTTCGTCGATCTGCCTGTTCTGTTCCCCACTCTGTCTCTGGTGACGCCTCTCACCGCCCCTGAGCCTCTGGCCTGTGCCCCAGTTCTGTATGCACAAATAAATAAATCTTTAAAAAGCAAAAACAAAAAAAAACTAGTCTTTCTATTTTTTTTGCAAGAAAAATGACCTTGACGTTATCAAAAAGTTTCAAAATCTACTTGTCTTCAAGAGTTCTAGGGAAAATTCACTAGGCTGGAGTATATATCAAAATCTGCAGTTTTGGTCCCTCCCTGGAGGTGCAAGAGTTTAAAGCACAGCCCTATAAAGCTATCCACAGTCACTGCAAGTTTCGTCCAAGTCCACCCTCACTCCCAGATCTGCCAGGCATGGCAGACCTCCCCTGTCCCACCCACTGCTCCTGCTCCCCTCAGCAGTGTACTTTGCGGATCAGCCTGTTCTGCTCCCCACTCTGTCACTGGTGAATCCTCTCAACCCCCGCGCCTCCGGCCTGTACACCAGTTCTTGCATGCATAAATAAAATAAATCTTTTTAAAAATCTGCATTTTCAATAATTACAGTGACGATGCTATTAAGTGGGTTGTTCATAGCAATTTTTCCTTTCTTTTACTAAAAACACTACACCCATAGAAAATAAGAAAGAGAAATACTTTCAGATGGGAAATACCGAGGTACAGAGTGGGTCCATGGCACGTGATGAGCCAGCGAAAGAGACCGCGCTGCATGGGGGGCTACTGAGGTCTCAGTATGCGGTGGTTTTAGAAAGCAGACTGGTGGGAACCTGGAGAATGAAATGGAGAGAGAAGGGGCAGCGTGGGAAGTGGTTAAGAGGATATTGTGGTGGTCCAAGTGGAAGATGCAGGTAGCTCGTGGCAGTGGAAAGAACAGAGCAAAAGGAAGAAACATGAAGAGACAGGACTTGGGGACTAAGTGCATGAAGGGGTGAGGGAAATGGAGATGTAGAGCTCGTCTCAGACAGGTGGATAGAGCAGTGGTCACCAAGCTCAGACAGGTAGGTGGGGCGGTGGTAACATTTGCCAAGATAGGGAACGCTAAAAAAGATCGTGATTGGGAAATGGAAGGAAATGGGAGAGCAAAGATAACATTTGACATGTTGGAGGCATGTGAAAGATATCTAAAGCAGATGCCCAGTCGGAGTTGGGACTCAGTCAAGAGAAAGGTGTGAGTGGGAGGTAAATGATTTTGAAATCAATGGCACCAAATTGCTCACTGAATGCATAGTATGAATGAAATTATTCACCAAGACCCAGCAAAGTCTAGGATAACATCTTAGGAATAATAAGCATGAAAGGCTGGATACAAAGTACAGTTAGAAATAGCAGCTAAAGTGGGAGAAGGGAAAACACATGTCACCACATTTAAGGAATGAACATGTGTATTGGGGAGGAAAAG